ATATAGATATATCTATATATATATATATATATATATATATATATATATATCTCTATAGATATATATCTATAGATATATGTCTATATATATGGATTTACATAGTGCCAACGGTTTACAAAATTAAGGGATACAGTACAGTTCCAATACAATTCAATAGAGGAAGGTAAGGAGGGCCTTGTTCGTGAGAGCTTACAATCTAAATCGCTCTATAAAAGAGGAACTTGCCATTGTAATATATTATTGGTAGGCGTGTGTGTTTCCATTATGTCTCCCAGAAACCTATACAAACATTCTCCATGCACAGCGGACACACAGTTGGCAGCTCATATAAATTGTCCCTAGCATGCATGTGAGATTCGGGACCTTAGATTGTAAGCTCCTGAGGGCAGGGGCTGATGTGAATGAATAGTATGGAAATTGACGGCGCTCTATAAATACCTGTAATAATTGAATCTATTTGTTATTTGTGCATGTGTTACCTGAGCAGTTGATCCCCTTGCCTTTGCCATTGTGGCACTCACTGGGCAGCTGGTTGGACGCTTGCACGCCGGCGAAGGCTAAGAAGACGACGAGCGCTGAAGACGTAGACCAGAAAGCCAGGGGTCCCAGCAGCCTGGGAGCAGGATGCAATCCTTCCATGATGTGAAGGGGGATGCTGGTGATACAAGAGGCAGGGGGGTGAGAGCTTGCTCCAGCAGGCCAGGAGCATCAATAGCAGTACAGATCAGAAGCCAGGCTCCTGTGTGGATTCTCCAGCACCCAGCAGTTCCTATTCATTCCCTGCCTTCCTGGATGCCGTGTGTGGATGAGGTGTCACTCCAGAGAAGGGGGACCAGGGACGTCCAGCATCAAGCCTTCATCTATGGCAGCTGCATACACCTCCCCCAGAAGATCACTCGCTGCCTGAGATGAACAAGGGGATGTCATCCATCCTCAATGCCATGCCAGAAATAAAGGGACTGGAGATTGGAGTATATCACCACCCCCCCCCACCCAGCCTTGTGTGTGCCGGCTCCTCCCTTCCTCCTGCTCTGCTCTGATTGCCCCTTTTACTGCCTGCTCGGGTTATTGTTCCGAGTAGCACAGAGCCTGTCACCAGCCACGAGATGGGTGCAATACGTGTGGCTTCTGGCAACAACAAAGGGAGCGAGTAGATGAGGAGGAGGGAGGAAGATGACTGGGAGGAGGGGAAGAATAATGAGGCGTACCACGTGACTTCGGCCCCCTTGTCTGTGATGCTCCCTGTCCGCTTCATTACCAAAGCTCACACGTTTTGTACATTGCACATAGTGCAGCCCATTCATTTCAACAAGCTTCATTCCGCATGGCAAGGGAGACCCTGCACCTTCTCTTCGAAATGCATGGGGAGAATTTATCAAAACTGGGGCAGTTGCCTGTAGTAACCAATCAGCCTCTCTCTTCAGTCTGTTCTGTTATTAAACCCTTGCATGTTTTTGCATATATCAAGCAGTAGATATATGCAAAACGATAACAAAAAACCTTTTTCAAAGGGTTAACACTTACCTGTGTCTCCGCCGCACGCTCCCGTCCGAACATCTGAACATTTTCGGTGGCTGCAAAGGATCTTGGGGTGGGCGCATGTGCAGTTCTGATGTTCGGCTGGGGGACGAGGAGAGAGACAAGGTAAGTATATGGAGCAGCGTGCACCCGCACAGACTCCGTGGGACATGAGAGAAGAGGAGTCAGCGCTGGAATCAGAGATCCGTACCAGCGCTGGAGGGACATCTGAAAACTACAGGAAAGAAGAAGATTGGATTAAGAGACATCATTTAAGGTAAGTGGGGGGGGACTTTCGCCCTTAATGTCACTTCCCAGATAGCAAGGATAACTTGCCACAAACTTGTGTCAGGGTTAAATTGTAATTCTTGTTAACTTGCTGCACATATTCCTGGCAAGTTGTAGACTTGCAAAACACTCGCAGCACAAGTTCTAGTTGACACTTTTTGAATTTGTAGCAAATTTGCTTGGCAAGTCTACAGCAAGAGTCCGACAGGTCTTAGCAAGAGCTCTGCAAGCTCGCTGGTCTGGAGACTTGCAATGCAGACTTGCTGTAATTGTGCAACAAAATTGTGAAGCTTGGCAAGTCTGCAATAGTTTAGCAAGTCATTTTCAAACTTGCAGCTCAATTACGTGCTATCTGGGTTTAAGCTTTACAAATGAAAGACAGCTGCTGATTAGTTTCTATTCACGAGGGTGGGCAGCTCCGGCCCTCCAGCTGTTGTGGAACTACAAGTCCCATGAGGCATTGCAAGACTGATAGTTACAGACATGACTGGCAGAGACATGTTGGGACACCCCCGCCGTGCTTCCCGGGCTCCGTTGCCCCTCCTACGGGCCCGGGACCGGCGATCTTTGTGTCCGCGGGGAGCTGGGGAGGAGGTCGACGAACTTCCGTTCATCGATCCCCTCCCCGTTCTATGGGACCGGGAGCGATGCAGATTGCATCACTTCCGGTCCCTGGGCTGTCAGTTCTGGGCTCCTGCAGCCCAGCTATAAGCTATTGAAGTGCGATCTGCACTTCAATAGCTTATTTCCAGTGTAAAGGTGACACTGAGGGTCTTTTGGACCCCCAGCATCACCTTAAAGAGGACCTGTCACCACCATCTGCTATTACAAGGGGGGGCTTGCAAGCCCCCCCATGTGATAGCAGTCAAAGTAAAGTAAAAAAAAAAAAAAAACAGTTTTTAAAATTAAAATGAAATAAAATAAATCTAATAATAATAAAAAAAAATTTAAAAGTCCCCCGCGAGCACGCGCGTCGCCACGTAAACACGCTTCGGGTGCGCCTACGTATGAAAACGACGAACGCGCTACACATGTTGGGTATCGCCGCGCACGCCGGAGTGAGAGCAATAATTCTAGGGCCAGTATTTTGAGGTATCTCTAAATTGATGACCTGTGGGGGCTTTTAAAGCGTCTTCTATGGACTTTTTGGGGTACTGGGGTTTTTCGCCGTTTTACGGATGCACGCAATTTGTAACCTGGGCATGTTGGGTATCGTTTTACTCGTTGTAACCTCATCTTTTATATTTCATTAAAAAAATGGGTATTTTGTTGTGTTTTGGGGCATTTAATTAAATTTTTCACGAAATATTGGGGTTTAAAAAGGAGTTGCGCTAATATTGCGCAACATAAACATTTGCAACTACCACCATTTTATTCTATAGGGTCTTGGCATTCAGAAAATATATAATGTTGGGGGGTTTTAAGTAATTTTCAGGCCTAAAATTTGGAATATAACATGGGTACAAAAAATGAAAAAAAGGCCTCAGTCATGAAGGGGTTAAAGCACAGAGTTGCCCACCCCTGCTATACACTGTTGTTTCAGGGTTTTTTTGCTCCTGTTTTGATAAATCCCCTTCATGGTATTTGTTACAATGTGTTTTGGTGCACACACCTGAAAGAGCATGGCTAAAGTAGAATTAAAGTATTTTTGGTAAGCAGTAGATGCCGAACATTAAGAATTAAAATAAGTTACCTGTGTCAGTGCTGCTCGCTCCCGCTGCAGAAATCCCGGCTCCCAAACGCTGTGAAGGAGGAAGTGTGGGCGCTCCCAAACGCTGTGAAGGAGGAAGTGTGGGCGCTTCCAAACGCTGTGAAGGAGGACCTATGGGCACTCCCAAGCGCTGTGAAGGAGGAAGTGCGGGCACAGTCCAGAGCATCGGAGGGGAGAGGAGGAGAGCAGCACAGAAGCTGAATAGACGCAGTCGGGAAAGCACACACTGGACAGACACCGTGGTCACTGAGGCATCTGCGCTGGATCATAGACCAGCACTAGTGCTGTAAGGACTTTAGAAAATGAGTGGAAGGAAGAAGCTGTTCGGATCAAGAGGGATCCGAAGTCCTTACAGCAGCATTGGGTGTGGCGCCCAGTGCAGACCCAACACATAGGCAAGGCAAATTGCCTTGCTTTTGATGAGGGTGCATTGTGATAGTGCACGCTGAAATATAGTATAGCGTGCGCCGCTTTTTTTAGCACAATACAAACTACTGCTTCGCAACACAGCTGTAGTGAATAGAGCTGAACGAAATGTCAGTTGTGACATTTTAATAATATTTTAACAAAATAAAAACACAGTAAATGGTGTGATACGCAGAAATCAGCCCATCAGCACTGTTCCTCCCAGTGCACACCAGTGGTCATGGGTTCAGTGCGGCTGGTTGGTGTGGCGAGTCCTTAAGGGTATCTAAATCCAATTTTAAAAAATTTAGTATATTGCAGTTTACAGGTCCTCAGAATGTGATAGTTGAATTAGTTTTCTTTTTTTCAGGCCAAAAACATTTTCTTCAAATACAGGACAATGGAGGTTATTCAATAAAGTATTTTCAAAGCTTTTCTGCTGTATCATGAAAAGTCTTGCGCCTAATTCACAAAAGCCTTCCAACAGTTTTGTTACCAGTTTGCACCACATTCACAATATATCACTATGGCTGCAACAAATTCAGGTAATTCAGACCAACTCTAAGCAGTGGCGTCACAAGGAGGGTGCGGGTGGTGCAGCCCACACTGGGCGACACCATCTCAAGGTGTGACACTAAAATGACTGACAGTCATTTTGACATCAGCCCCTCTAAAAAGTCGGGCACTTGGTCATGGACTATGAGCCCGACAGTTGCACAAGAGAGGAGGGGACCCAGTGGCAGCATACCTTATCCTTCCAGGTGAACCTCCCCTCCTCTCTTTGCCAGGGTCCATCGCCAAGATGGCCGCCGGCAGGTAGGTGCACGTGACGTCATTATGGAGTGTCTGCAGTATGGCACCTCCACCATTCCTCGACGTGACAGATTCACCTACCTGTTTCTGACGTTTACATCAATCAGTCGCAGGTACCAGTATTTGTTGTGCAGAGGTACAAAACAGTTCTGAAGACAAGGACACTCTTTTTAAATATCTGGAGGGTATATCTGTTAATCCTGCCAGAATTTCACTGCCCTTAAACTTCCTGTGCATTGAAATAATATCTCAATGATATCAGCTTCTGCGAACTACAGAACACCTCCTCCCTATTTACTGTAGATGAGACAAGGAGGAAGTGTTATACAGTCTAAATCAGGAGAGCAGCCTGGGGTGACAATGCTGCTCCTCCATAGATACAGTGCTTTTAGTGTTGTCACTCTAGCATTACTGGCAGGATGACCATGATAAAAATGAGGGTAAAAAAGTCTTAAAAGAAAACGAATGCACTCGTCATGTCTACGAACTAATAAGCTGCCAATATATTATAATGTTGTTTTTGGGTTTAGATTCAGTCTGGCCCCCGTTCACATTTGTGTAGCACAACGATGTACATGCATTGGGCAGCCCATGTATTTCAATAGGCTGCTCTATGCGCAACAAAGGCATCAAAGAGCCTCATGCACCTAGTGGAACTTCAAGCACATTTAGGGTGCCAATAACAATAAATGGTACCGCAAGTGCGCATTTCGTGCACATGCTACACAAGTGTCAATGGGGTCTTAAAGATGATCACTACATCAAAGCAGCACGTTGGAATTTCTGTTAGTGTTTATATCTTTCATTTAAAATGGATGCAGGATTCATTGTTTGTTCAATTAGGACAAGGTCATTTTGCTGTAAAATACAGCTGTTCATTCTTTTCAGTTCAGAAAGAATCTGCTGTACAATGAGTATAACATCTGTAGCAAAGCCATTATATATGTCTCTTCTCTAAAACAGCAGGACAATCATCAGTTTTTGTTTATTGACTTTCCTACCATCCTGGGCACACTGCAGTTTCCCATTGAAAGGCTAAAATATGCATCCGAACCATTGAAGTGCAATGTTTCTGCAGTGCAGTGAAATCAGGAATAGATGTGATACAGAGTTAAATTATAGTTTCCGTTCAGAAAGCTGCATCATTCTCTTGGAATCAAATGTAAGTACTGGATGCTAAAGAGCAAATCCTAAACTTTTATTGTGCTTGTGCTATAAATCAGATGAAGTGAAATGTTATTTTCAGTTCATCTGAAATGTTTCCTAACATTTCTTTGCTATAGTAGTTTGCACAGTCTGCAAACTATACTCCAGAATTTCAATGCTAAAGGCTTCACTCACACTTGCCACTTACCTTTTTGTGCTCTATATGCAGAGAAAGATCTGTCAGGCTAGATGCTGTGTTTGTGCTTCTATATGCTTTAAATGACG